GTATGTCTTTCGCTTTAGTTAATAAATACTCAAATTTAAATAGAAATTTCGGTCGCTTGCAGAGTTCATTGCACTGTGCTTAGGCATATGTATATCGTATATTTTGATGACAGAGTATAAAAATATACATATTGAAAACGGCAACAGTGGAATTTCTTGTTATATTCCCGGAAACCAAAAGGATTTACATTTGTTTCTCTTCTCCAAAAATGAATCTATTTGATGCAGGTGCTTGAACGTTCCTTGAATAGCCGGTCCCCATAATTGCACTACATATCTAAACAGATAGATTCTGGTACGTGATTTCACGCTCAAGATAAATGCGTCCTTGTTTGATTCTAGGAAATGGAAATGGGATTAGATTTTCACCACTTTTTGTTCGGCACACGTTTTAGCAAGTGTTTGACTGGATAACCGAATAGTTTTTGAAATTGCACGTGTGTGCAATGCCCCACCTGAACGTGAGTGCATGCCTCAGCATAGTTTCTCTTACACAACGACATAGCTGCTCAGATTACGCACATATGCTGTTATACCGAAAAACATTGTCTCTCGACATTGTGTTTATGTCCTCTTTATATAAATTAATTGCATCTGAAAATTTTTTGCGAAACGAATAGAACCTAATGCTTTCTCGATGGTATCCCGGCCGTTTTTAAGGAACAGCACATTATTTAAAATCGTGTTTGGCTCGTAAAATGATAAACTTTAATTTTTGTACATTGATGAGATGCCCTTAAATTTAATCACATAAGTTAATTTTTCATAAAACATTTTTTATTTCCAACTAACGTTTATCCCATTTCTTTTTTCCAGGGTTCCTCGCCAACTCTGACGCTGGTCACCTCAAAAGTAAGTATATTTCACCTTTCCATTACATATACTAAGCGCTAAAGATACTGCATGGCTTACCTAGGCTCGAGGCTAGGTGCAAACCTTCGCTTGAAATGCATGCGCTCCATACAATTCCATTCATTCCATAAAGTTCGTGATTCATTGCGAATTGTTGCGGCAATTAGGTTGGGTTGGGAAAATCGGTCTCTGGCAATGACCAGAAAACAAGGGCACAAATGTAGCTGCTCCTCAGGATTTCGGTAGGCTGAAGTCTTCCAAGTTGGTGACTCAGCGCAGAACCACGTAAAGGAAATGACGAATACACGGAACAAAAGGAGCAAAGCGGGAAAGAAGTGAGCTTGCAGCGCGAGATGTTGCACCAAGACAAAATGTGAAATACACACACACACACACACACACACACACACACACACACACACACACTTGAGAAGCAACTCCAACTGTGGCTGTGTAAATATCTTACCGATTTAAGTGCTCGTTTTTAGTCTTTCTGCACTCGTAAAAATTATACTTAATATGTTAAATTGGATGCACTGTCCCCAACGCCGGTTGTAATAAGTTTAAATAAGGGTTTTTAGGTAACCGACGGTACCCCAGAGATTACCTGGCAGCAGATTACGATATCAGGTAATCGCAACTCCCAGTCAAGTCGTTAGACCCTGAGAAATGGCCGCACACTCAGCGAATTCTGCAGAAGAAGTCTGCTAAGAACTCAAGTGTAGAGGAGGAGCACAGCATGCGACCTTGAAAACGCAAACTATGCCGCGAGGGCGCTACACACACAGGCAAACACGCATCCACACACACACATGCACAGCAGAAAGCTTGAGAACGGGAGCTCCTCACAGTCAGACAACTCGAGCCAGGGAAACGAAGTGTGTGTGTGTGTGTTTGCTTGTCCTATGCAAGATACAGTAACAAAACGAGTTTCGCTACCACCACAAGCTGCATCAGTATCCGTATCTAACAGATACACAGATACTTCGCATGCAAGCCCGAAGCCCGAAGACCGAAGAAGAACCGCAACGCAAAATTCGGTCTTTGTGCCAATAGAACTTAGAATGCGGTAGGACGTCAACGTCGACTTTTGTTGCTGTTGTTTGTATTTAACTTGTTGTTGTTTTGTACGCTGGTATTCCGCCGCGCCACAGGAAACGGCAACATTGCCAGTCTTAGGCTTTGATCTCGATCTGCCCTGCTCTGCCCTGCCCTCCGCTCGCAGTGTAGCAGAAGAGATGCCGAGTGTGGCAAAGCATCTAAACAAATTTTCATGCATATGTACGTCAGTGATGCTGCCGTTTGTCCCAGTCCGAAATCCCAGTTTGCTGCGAACAAGCCGGCGATATGCAAGATTTAATTTGACTTCATAATTTTTGTGCGCGGCACATTCAAAATTTAATTAAATTCATTGTTTGGACTCAAGGTTTTGCGTTTGCTGCGAGCCTATTCCATATGTTCACTGTTTTTAAATTGGCAGTTGTCCTCTTTTGTCAAGCCTTTAAAGCTTTTACTAAAGAGCTTATGAGCTTGCAGTACCCTTACAGAGCATAGTTGAAGATAGTTGCGACCCCTCGAAATGTACATACATATATATTGTCTGGCTATTTCTATGCAAATTTTTCCCAAGCAAGTTTCAACTGCAAGCTTCAACATTATTATCTGTAAAATGGGACTACTGAATATTGTAGCTTCCGTAGAAGAAATCTCTCAAAACTAAAGTTCTTAAAATGAAAAATATTTTTCTATAAAAAATATCTTAACCAAACTCAGCAGTTTCTAGTCACAATGGTCCTTACATATAAACAGCATGTGTAGGTCGAATAGAGCTCGTTTTATATATTTCTTCTAGCATATATGTAAAGTCTTCGGCCACCATAAGATAACTGTTTTTAATTTAGAGAAATGGCACTGATATCACCTTGAACTATGAATGCATGTTCAGGTATTATTGTCATGTGGTCAATGCCTGCTTCCAGGAATGCATTAATTCGACTGCGCTCTAAAGCAGCCATATCCAATGCGTTGGAGTGCTATACATATAAAGATCAACGTTTTATGCATCCTTAACTTACACTCTATTTTAATTGCCAAGAAATCCTCACAATCACAGTTGGTGCCTCGGTCCCACACACCGACCGACCCATCTTATGTGCAATTAAACAGCAAGCCCAGGCTTGCGGTTGGTTGGGTGGGGGCAAGGGCATGGGCAAAAGCAAATTTACGTCCGCTGTCAAAAGGCAGCGACGTAGCGTATTTAATATTTTTCAGCGTGTTTTACCATTTCATGTTGTGTCATCATCATCGTCAGCATCAGCTCCAGGAACGGGCGCAGGCGCAGTCCCAGTCCCAGTCGGAGTCACGGTTGCTGAAAAGAGAACAGAAGATACAGATACACTCGGCGTGGAGTGGTCAATCCTGTTCCTTAGGCTTCTGTGCCGGCATAGCTGAGACGGGAACGGGAATGGACGGGATACAAATTTGTACGCTCAACTACAAACTAAAAAGTCTTAAAAGCATTTGCAGAAACGAAGGCAAAGAGTAAACACAATAAAGGCATAAAAATTGCGAGTGAGCAAACAAATAAAAGGAAACAAGTGAGAAGCAGGAGAGGCAGGAGAGGCAGGGACCAGCAGTCAACTCAGACGGGGCAGACGGGGGGGCAGACAGGGCATTGCGGGCATGGTGTATGTTGTTTTGTATCTGTGCTGCTCATTTGCACTTGGAATACAAAAGATACATTTTCGTAAGACCATTTTGACATGACAAGATAACGACAAGCAATCCAACCAAGCGACCGGACGATAGTCGGGGGAGCACTGGCAACAGGCAACGGGCCGCGGGCCGCGGACACCGGGCATGAAAGCTGCGCCTGCTCATTGGCTCCTTGCCGACCTTTGCCTGAGTGTTTCGTATTTTAATTTTCATTACGGCCACACCGCCGCATTGGAAGGTTCTTGAGAAGCTGCGACGGCGACGACCGGCAGCGCATAAAGTCAGCGCAAGCAGCGCAAATGTGAGTATTTCTCAGAAATTGCAAATTATTTTTGAGCTGAGCGCCTGCGCCTCGAGATGCCTCGTCACAGGTACGAGTCGCAACTGGCGCGGGCAGTCTCAGCAGCAGCAGCAGCAGCAGCAGCCACAGCCGCCAAAATGAGTTAGCATCCCAATCCCAATCCCTGTGTGCGAGTGTGTGTGCGTGTGTATGACTTTGCTGAGTGCCAGCGCAACCGGCAAGCGAAACAAATGCGCAGATACTTTTGCCCATTGACACTCCCGCACCCCTCTTTATATGGCACCACAACTTCAGACTGGGACAGGACGCGGCCAACGGCCATCAAGTGCTCCGGCCTCGTCCACTTTTCGCCCCGCGCACCGCCCTTACCCTAAAGTGGTGTTTATGCACTCTCATAAACATTTTTATTTTAATGATTTTTATTATTGTGCACATTCGTTACTTTTTATGCGCCCTAGAGGATCACGGCAGCCATGTGCTGCGTACCCTTAATCTTAATCGTGTCTCGATCTTGGCCCTGAGTACTGAGAAAGTTTAGTTAGCGACATTCATTTGTCGCCTTCCAACTTAGACACACTTTTGCTTAGAGATTCGCATTTGTTTTATTTTTAATATCATAATTACAAATATTATATACTCCTTTGTATGAGTCCTTTGAGTGCATGTTGGAGTCTTCGTTGCAGTGGCTCTGCGATCGCCTCACCCTGCCGGATCATAAAAATTAATTTACGTTCGATTGCAAAATATTCGCCGCACAGTGGACAACGCCGCCAGCGCGGATGAGACATAAAATTCCACGTTTATGACCCCTTAAGATTCAACTTGTGTATGGCAAAATCTGTGTGAAGTACCAGAGATCCAATGGCAGCTTATCCATTTCGGTTTCATTAAAAAGCGGGACCTCGTAAAAAAAATCCTGTGTTATTTTTCTATCTCCTGGCCACTGGCAGACCCAACTTGCAATTTGCATTGTCCCCATACAAGAATCCATAGCTATATAAATTACAACTTTAGTTTCTGCTAATGCTGAACGAGTCCGTTTATTAACAGCGCGACTTAACTTAACACATATTTTGGTATAGTTTGTTTGCTTAGATAGGAAAAGCGTACTTGTTGGTTACCTAAGAGTAAAGTTTTGTCATTAATTCTATTTAAGTTACTTTGTCGCACGACCACCGCCCAGACGGGCAACAGTGCGGCGTAATTTGAGAATCTCGGCTTGCAGCTGGTCAACGCTATTGTCCACGGCTGTTGGCTTTGGCTGGGCTGTTGCTCCTGGGGCGGATGTGCGATTAGCCACAAAAGGCAGCGCGCCCTCCACACTGGCAATGGAAAGATCTGGATGAATCTGAGGAGTAGTCACGTTCACGCTGTTAGCAACAGGCGCAGCCACCGCAGTGGTGGGTGTTAGAATAGGTGCGAGATTAGACACAGCAGCACCAGCAGCTAAAGCTGGAGTAGTTGGCACTGTGGCTGGAGCGGCAGCAGCAGGCGTCTGTGCAACGGCGCGGTGTGTAGATATTAATTTCTGTAGCTTTGCTGTGGCGCTCTCACGCTGCGAGTCCAGCAGCATGCGCATCGCTTCTTGATCTTCCGACTTGGCTTTCTCCATGGAGTCGGAGCCCTCGTCTATAAACACGTAATTTATGACGTGCGCGTGTGTGCCTGGCTTAATCCGGTAGATGGGCTGACCATCGCCGCCTCCGGATGCAGCTGATAGAGAGGGTATATCGCCCATTTTGGCCATTTCGCCACCCACTTGGAAAATCGATGTCTTGCCATTCACCACCAGCGGCTTGGGCATGATGTAGGGCGCAGACACAAACTGGGAGCACTTGCGCTTGGTCACTTCCACATATTTGCTCACCCGACAGCCGCTGGTGCTGCAAGCCCGCAACGGCGTGGCCATAGACTCGCCGCTGACGCCACTGGCTCCACTCGCTGTTGTTGCTATATTGGAGCTTGTGGCTTGCATCTGTAATTGCCATTTAGAGTGCATTAGCCTAGAATTTCAACTTATGCAAAACTGAGTTAAACTTACATTCATTTAACTTTGTTATTTGTTTGACAATTTTCGTGCGATTTTTTGCACAGTTAACCTAGTGTATTCTTTTGTCACATTGAATAGACGCTTTTTTTATTTCAAGAGCTGTCAACGTTTCTGTTTGTGCTCAAATCCGAAAATCACAGCTACCAAATAGCTTCGATTTTGTTACAACTAATGAAAAACTGTAAAGTATGCAGATTCATTACAATTCGATGAACTGAACCAAAAGAACTTGCTCATGTTCAAAAAAGAACTAATCGATTCAGTTCTCGCAGAGACGCAGCGCGCATGCCTGGTTATCGATTGCGCCAAGGTTCGATAACTCATAAGGCAGACGCTTTGGCGCGAACGAAAGAGAATTCAAATGAATCGAATATATATATGTACTTCATACAATATTTTACAAACCACAAGAAAAATGTATAATCTGGTCAGCTATTTCAATTATGTATTATGCATTGAACCCAAATAGTTCAAAGGTGCTGTGCATACTGCAATTTAAAATCTGTGGCCAAACGGCAATGGTGAGTCCATTTTAAAGTGCAATGACCTGAAAGCCCTTGAACACAACATTGAGCAGCCGTGGCAAAGTGTGGCCGCGACAGACACCCGCTTCATTTACATTCCCGAGTACTTTAAAAATGGGCAGGCAACGCCAAAGTTGAGTCGTTAAAAGCACTGAAAACGGTTATCATAAGGCGGTCGAGACCAACGCCTGTCCTTCTGCCAGCTTCTTTAATTTCCACGTCCATCTCACAGCCAACAGTCGCTCAAAGCGTTGACCAGACTTGCAGCCTCATTGTTGGCTCAAATGAAATAATTACTTTAGCACACTTTGACTGACTGACTGACTGGCTGACTGAATGCCTGGCCGTAAAGCCGTCTTCTGTGTATGCGTGTGTGCATCCTTAGTCATGACCAATATATCGACTCGCATTAACAACAACAACAATGAAATCAGCCGCAGATGCAATAAAATCCTCCGACATATCCACGTCGCGCCCAGTCCGACAATAATAAGAAATGAAATGCCATTTATTAAGCATTAATAAGTGCGAGGGTCCATGTCCATCCATCCATTTGCGCTGCACTTGGCTTCGGTGCCCCGACATTGGACCGCGACCGGCTCTCCACCTGGGCGCTCTGACTCTGACTCAGTTTGCGACTCTGACGATGCCTGTGGCCAGCCTCTGGCCAGCGTTCTCTCTATACTTCGTTGCCGGTTTAGCCAACAAACTTGCCCCTCGTTGGGTCGACTTACCGGCTTATGTACCTAAAAAATTCGAATAATAAAACTTCTTGAAAGTTTCTTTACCAACCGTAAGCATAACCATACTTTAAGTTCATGCATGGCTCTAATTATCATTTAAATGCAAATGGATTTATTTGTCGATGTTGTCGATAGTAGTAACAGAAATGCTCCTCACACATCTAGATAGTAAATGATGTACATATGTATATTATATTTATACATCTCCACATGAACAGCAAATTTATCAATTTTCATAACTAAAAATATCTTTCAATCATTATACTGTGCAGAGTGCGTTCTGCTAATCAAAATTCACACCAAGTTTCTGAGAACAGCCCCAAAAATTGTTGAGTTTAGCGTTTAGCAGATTCATCGTTGGTAACTTAATGAAATTCCACGGGTAAAACAAAAAGTGCAATTATGAAATATGAAGCTATTTAAAATGCAGAATGCGGCTACCACATCGGAAATGTTTTGGCCCAATGGACTGGTACTGAATCACGCCAAGCATATTGGATACCGTGATTAAGGTGAAAATAATTATGTACTGAGCCGAAGCTTGTGTGTGTGTGTGTATGTGTGTGTGTGTGGCTGCTTTAAAAAGTGATCTACAGCCAAATTGAACTTTTGGATGATGTTGCAAGTGTGAATAATGAAAATATGGCCAATATAGTTTCATAGATAGCATTTGTTCTTAAAATAAATTTGTACATTTTCAACATTTATAAAATGAAGGACCTCATATTTGTTGATCAGCTTTTAATCTTTTAAGCTGTTATTTAGTTGACCTTATAAATGATATAATTACAATTATTAAAGCAATGCAACTGCAACAAATTTGGTATTGCAGCTAGTTGCCTGGTATCTAATAGGTGGCCCGTCTGATGCTTGTCTGCGCTTGCGCTGACAAAGATACTGCAAAACGAGTCGCGTTCATTTTTTTGGTAAGCAGGTTTTATATTGGGACAACAACAAAACGAAAAGAAATTGGGATTCCTTGTCTGGGCAGGCACCAACCAACACATGGCGTTCATTTGAGGCAGCAGTACCCCAAAAATAAGCACAAGAGCGGCAACAAAACCGAGGCCCTCGAGCGCTGTACTTGTGCTTGATCAAGTGAACAGCAGACAGCGATGACGACAAGCGGAACGTCGTCTGGCCACCAGAACAGAGAACAACAACAACAACCGAAAAAAAGAACAACAAGTTGCGCATGCTTAGCTGTTAGATACTCGTAACAGATACAGATACAGATACAGATACATAAGCACGTGCAGCAGGCAAAGAAGTAAACGTTAAAAGGGAAATCAAGAAGCAAAAAAGGAAGCCAAATGTTTTACTTGACCTTGACTTTAAAATTCTCATTGCAAAAGCCAAAAATGTACACTGCACACATACATATACATTAACACACACAAATACACGAATACATATAGTATCTGTATCTTTGAATCGTTTGCCTCTGTAGTGCCTGCCTTTTCGCTTTAACGCTTTTATTTCGAATTGCAGCCTTAAAACAAATTAAAGAGCAACTGAACTTAAATTCGATATTGCTAAATTAGTTCTCATTCAGTTGGACATAAATATGTAGAGTTTTTCGTCTGACTATCTAGTAATAAAACCCATCGATTTCTTGTTACCTTTTCAGATGAGTGCAGCTCCACCTGCACATAGTTCAGTTATTATCCAAAATTAAGCTGAACACAAAAACCAGTCAAGCAATAATCCTACATATAAACCAATATGAGCACATAGAAGACCCCACACTATATGTATCTATATGTATAGTAGACAATACGAGCACAACTGAGCACTCCAGCAGTTTTTTACCCCAAGAGAATTGCGGAGCCAACAGGTACGCCCAAAACGAATATGAATATGAATATATTCAAATTCGCTAGCTATTTATATTACGTATCCTAATATATAATATCGCACATGAAAGACAATCAGATTCATAACAGCTGCATTTAAATAAATAATACTTAATTCGGTCCTTTATCAAAAAATTATCAAATGTGAGATTTCTAGGTACACTTTTGTCTATGAGCAATTTCTCTTCAAATTAAAATTTATTTACAAAATACTGAAAGAAAAATCCATAATTTTAGAGAAAGACAAAAATTCTATTTTGACATCAAAGCCAATTCGATGGGCATCTCATAACGGTGTCCAGAACAAAGGGATTTGCGCACATGAGTTTGAACTGCGTCGTTGTCCCCATTTCGAACCTAAAAGTTGTGCAACGTAGGCGTGCGGAGGAGCTGTTGCAGCTGCCACAGAGTTTGCCACACGACAAAAAGTCCTTTACGCTTGTTTTGCTGTTGCTCCTTCCTGTTCGATTGTCGTTTTCTCTTGTTAGCCACCGCCTCGTGCTGCAGCGGAAAGGTGTTGCCTCAGACAATAAACTAATTAAATTTAATTTAAAACAGTCCGTGGCATTTCATAAGGCATCCTGCGGCCAGCAACCTCCAGCCCAGTCAGCCAAAAATGTTTCATATTTAATTGGCCGGCTGCTGTTGCTGGTGGCAAGCGAAACATGTCCTAAATTACCAGAGTGTGGCAGCAGCAGCAGCAGAGTGCTGACCAAATTAGAAGCAATAAAAAATTGTTAGACTGGCGGCGTGGGGGAGGGGTCTTGCCTCCGTTAAGCCAAGGGGGTTACCGGGTAGACAGACTGCCAAGTACCGCGACATGTTCGCTCCTTGTTTTTTGCATCTGTTTCGTTTTTGCTCGCAAAAGCAGCTGTTGAAGCACTGCGATTTGATGTGCCTCTAAGCACAAGCAGGTGCTATCTGAGCTGGAGCCAAATAGAGTGGATGCAGTGAGTCAGTGTCGGTGGCCTGTGTTAGCCCAGCGGCACGAGCTGGACAAAGCGTAGGCCGAGAAAGCCCATTTTCCTATGGCGTTTTATTTTCCAAGTCGACTCGTAAAGCTTAATATGTACACACATAACCAAGCAAGAGCCCAATACTGATTTGTTTACCGTTAGAGGTCGACAGGCAATCAAAACGGCTCCGTGTTACCTGGTCCCGGGCCTGTGCCCCAGTGCCAAGGCCAGCACGCACACTAAACCCCATGATTATATTTGAAATTAAAGTCTCGAACCGCTTGCCACCGGTTGGCCAGTCTGGATCTGCATGTGGGTAATTACCGGTGTGGTCGGAATCCATCGATATACCGAAATTAGAATTTAGCCACAGTCTTCACAGAAAACTTAACCCCTTTACCTGCTGCAACTGGCTGCAGGCAGTTTGTGTTCATGGCAAGACTGTGCCCCATTTGAATGGACGGACTTTCGATTCCAATTCAAATTTACGATCAATTGCTTATTTGTATACAAACAAAACTAAAGCCAGCCTGGCGACCAATTATAGTATCAGTATCTACGCTGTGCTTCTCAAATTATTCAAATCGATTGTCAATTATGACTGACAAATGTGAGTTTATTTTGAATAGATTTGCATTCTGCTCAAAAGATCTACATATGTATGAAATCGAGAGGACCGTTATAAAAAAAGGATACAGGACGCTTCGACTAAGACGAACTATCAACGGATATTATAAAATATGGCTTATGTTTATGCTTAAAAGGTTTAAGTCCTGTCTCGCAGTTAAAGCCTCTTAAGTATGTGCTCGCTGAATAGCTGACATAAAGTACATCTTTTAATACATGTAAATAATAAATAGCTTTGCCTAATAATATTTTTAATTTATAAAAGTCGACACACTTTAATCCCGCCTAAAGATATGCTGCACAAAAGATTGAAACACCTAAAGTATGCTCCACAGTTTAGAATCACATCGAACAGAAAGCAGTGCAGAGAAACCGACATGATAGTTTAAATTTGTGATGAATTAACTATATAATTTATTAACTCTTAAGCTAGTCGAATAAAACAAAGAAAATGTGCTGCATGCAACAAAGAGGTCGAGAATATGAATGATCTAGAATAGATATACTTTATGGGGTTGGATAAGTTTCGTTCTATGCGTTGCACATTTGATGACAAAATTGTAATACTCTTTGACAGAGTACAATTATGCAGATATTTAATTGGTTTACTTGTTTTGTCTATAAAATTGCTTACACTTGTTTTACAAGACCGTAAACGCCCACACCTAAGCACATATATATGTACCATTAAATATACACCATATAAATTTTAGCTGTTTCAGCAGCAATAAAAATACGTGCATTGCAGTTCGCTCACCTGTGCCACCTTTCGGCACAAGCTATAAAAAGTGTAAGGGGAGAATTGTGGGTTGTCAGTGTATTGCAAGCTGCCGAATATCCAGGGAACCATCCACAGACCATGAAGTTGATCGCTGCTTTTCTCATTATGGTGTTCGCAGCGTGCGCGTGCGCCTCCTGCTCCAGCTATCAACCTGGTGTCGCATCGCCGCCTTGCCCAAAAAACTATCTCTTTAGCTGTCAGCCAAAGCTGGTGCCGGTGCCATGCAGTGCTTCAGCTGCCAGTTATGGATCTGCGGGCGCATACACGGACCACGTGCCCTCTTACGTCTACTTTGGAGACAATCTGCATGGACCGGACTTTCAGTATCAAGCGTAGCTATAGTGCACTTTGTCAATGCCAACCCCAAGAATATAAATTGTGTATCTACGTATCTAGATATCTGAAAGAACCTTTTACAAATTGTATTTTAAAGAGATCAACTTAGGAGTGCTAAGCGTTATACACATATATATAATATTACTATTCGAGGGGGTTTCCATCGGCTCGATGCCGACAATCCCACAGTTCTATAGTACGTTGTGATATAGAACTGATTTTTGCTTAATGATTCGCTGATCATCTGCCCAACATCAGCAGCTGTAGGCCGGCTGCCCCCGAAGAAATGCGTCGGCTGCCAAAAATAATGTCGCCGTGTGCCTCCAACTCGGCATCTCGACATCTCGACGTCTACATATGTACATCGGTTCCACTCAGCCACAGTCGGAATTGTTGTCTTTGCGTTTGTGGTCGGTCGCAGCTCGTTTGTCGCCCATCTATAAAAATCGCCCATCGAAATCAAAAAACGGCCGCCGTGTTAAAGTGATCCTAAATGCACATAAGGCAAACACAAACTGAGATGTTTTGTGCTATTTTGCGAATGTGATTCCTTTAACTATTGCCATGTGGCACATTCCAATCTTATGTTAAAATTCATGCGTTTAGTCTGACCCAGTTTAGTTATGCTAAAGCCCGCCGTCGCCAGCTCTAGCAATTGATTAATTTATGTGCGTGTGTGAGTGTATTTCAATTTAATGATGGTCGTTAAATTATTTGCCGAAGTGTTTGTTTATGTTTGATTTTATTCATCTGCTATATTTTTATTTTATTTATTTTTGTGTGGCACCGAAGATGATTGCATAATTTGTTTGGGGACAGCGCCACCATTAAGTGGTTCTCTGTTCTTTGATTAATCAGTTGATATAGCTGGCTCCATATCCATTTATATTCACACAACTACGATCCCGTGCTAACCCAACGCAACAACGGTCAACATGAAGAAGCTGCACCTGGGCGCCAAGCATAAGGCGAAGACATATAAACCCTTTAGAAATAATAAAAACCGTCGGGTAAGTGTACGTACGGACCCAGATCCGACATAGAGCCGCGTCCCAGCCCCTCTGGCCCGGTCCGGTTATTTTTATACACATGCTCTCAACGATCTTGGAGCTCTCTTTACATTCCGTTCGTACTCTTGCTGTCAATTTGGCCATGTTATATATCTCTCAGCTCTTTGCATTTATTTTTGTTTGTGCCTATTTCAGCTACCTCAAAAAAAATGGTTATTACACGAAATGTTAGACCATAAAATAGCACTCTAGAGATTAGTGAGACAGGCCCATGCATAAAATTGAGGGATTAAAAATGGAGCAAATGCAGAGGCAAAACAAAAATCAAACCGAAAATTCCTTCGATTTTGTTTATAAAATTATTATTAATGGTGTGCGGCCAATGTAGGGTTTTGGCAAGTTCATGACTCGCTATCGTGTGTTTAGAATTAGGGTAAAAGGTAAACAATAATTTGCCACATTTACTTTGGCCAGAGAATATGAGCCAAGTATTATGTTTGGGGGCAAATGACATTCGCATTTCTCTTCGCCATTGGCTTACACACAACAAAACAATGGGACAAAGTACAAGAAGAAGCATCAGTGAAAGAGCGCATTCTCCACATAACATTCAAAACTGGCGCCTGCGCATTGTGAAAGTGGAGAGTTTTTGGTTGTCTCGCCCCCCTTTTTCTCTCTCTCTCTCTCGGTCTGTTTCTCTCGTGGACTCCGTCAGTGCTTTACTCAGTGGCTATGTGCTCATCTGGAAATGTTTCCTTTTTTCTCTCGCTTTGGTTGTGATGATGGACAGCATAATGTTTACATTGTATTGCACACTGTCTTGGTATTTGCCGATCAGGTGCCAATAGGTGAATACACATGCATACATGTACATGTCGACATTTCGTTTATTTTTGACAATAGTTGATACTTTTGTATATACTTTTCTGCTTTTATATATTTTTTTATGGAATTCAAGGGTTTGGCGTGTGTTTTTATATCGTAAAAAATTCCTTAAAAGTTGATCAACCACTTTCTCAAATAAACTGCAGCGAACTGCAAAAAGAAGTGTAAATTGTTTTCTCGCCAACCAGCGCTTTCCCTTAAACCAGCTCTAATTTGATTCCCCCAAGTGTGCCCACATATGTATGTACATGCACACATGTATATGCATGATAAGCGTGGCTTGCCAACAGGTGGACGACCCTTTGCTTATTTTAGAAAAATATCGATTTTCCACACAGCAACAGAACTCTCGAAAGCCTCAATACCAGAGAAATTAAATTGTTTACTAGCTATAAATATGAGCAATTATTGATACATACATATGTATTTTGATTTACCAAAGTGCATTTATATATTACAGATAGTGTTTATAGGTATATAAATCCGCAGTGCACACTGAGGCAAAACCGTTGCCATTGCACTTGAATTTCCAATGAACCTGATGAAAAGAGTATTTTGTTTACATTTCATATTGGCAAAGTGTGCATTTGCATTTGTATTCGAATTGAACGCACGTAGTACGTAGTACGAGTACTCGCATTCGCACTCATTGAATCTTTTTGAAATCGTATTCACATATCCAGAGTGGAAGAACGGCGCAGTGGGGCGATGGGGCAGAGGTTACTCCCAACAACATTTACGCACTGGAAGTGAGGGAAACTCTACACAAGTTTTCCCCAAAACGAAGCATTCATGAACACATTTTTCATTTTCCAAATACAGAAACACTTTAGTTTGCGTGCGGAATTGAGTTCGGGTGAATGTTGAATGCGAATGCGAAACTGAATGTCGTGGCAAAGGGCAGGAAACGGTATCTGAATCGAAATATGAATCGAATGAACGCTACCTAGTAGACCGTAGACCTGCAACAATATCAGATAAAAACCGACTCCAAAAAGAAACGGATGCGAAAAATGAAATAAAAGTTATAGAGCAAATACAAGCTAAAATAGCAACATAAAATAATACAAATATAGAAGAAATTTCTCTCAACGGGCGCTCTCCCAAAGGCATTTCGGCTTGGGGTTTTCCAGGAATTTGTGTGTGCATATAAAAAAAAAAATTAAAAAAAAAAGCGAGCAGAGCATTGAATTACCGCGGGTCCAAATAACACGCCAAATATTTATTTTTAACTCAACAACAAGTAATCCTGATGCGCCAATACCGTATCGATACGACGGAGAAACGGGTAGCACAAAAAAAATATTACCGAGATTCGGCCAATCTTTCGAAAGGGGGGCTAACAAAGAAGTGAGAGGAAGCGGCGGAAATCAGCGTGTGTGCCTTTCCAGTTACATTTACCATTTACCGTTCACATTAACTGTTTGCCTGTGCCATTGGCTTCCAGAGTTGGTTATCTCGCTCGCTCGCTCCGTCTCTTTCTCTCTCGTTGGGGACTGCTGGACATGCCAGAAGCCTAATGCGGATTGTGGATTGTCCGTTGGCGTCCAAGTTCTGAGCAACCAGTGGGGGAGATTGGACGAGGCAATAGTTATTATAGCTTCCTTAGACTTGTTTGTCGGCACATTCCTTCGACTTAACGTGTTGGCGCGTCACTTGGTACTTACTCCCAACTACCAACGACTCGACGTGGCCATCATCGTCACCATTTGCGTCCGCTCCTCCGAAGCGTGGGTTCAACAGTGGCATTGGCAGCCACGATTTGTGCTCTTGTTGTCGTTGTGCCGTTGTGTCGGAAACATCATCAAAATATCTTCATTCGAAGAAGATTATCGGGCTGACAGGCCCATGGTGCAGCGTGCATCATCCTCAGATGCTCCCTCAATTCAGGGCGGCCATAATCGAGAGTCTCGATTTGGCCTTGGATATACATCGTACCAAAGCGGATACAATAAACTCTTTACTCAGGTGCAAAACTTATATTCTCTATAACCAATATATATAACCCAAGAGGAGTACCTTCTGATTTTTGTTAACGGATATTTTGATAATATGATCTCACTGAATTGTCCAGAGACTGGCGACCACATGTTGATCCAGAGCCTCTGGCAAGCAGCCAATTATCATAATGATAAATGTGTATTGTGTACATTGCCTCGATTAACAAGAAAATGCGATGTGTTTGGCTTTTCCAGGGTTCTGCCGACTCGAACTACTCACAACCGTCATCCGATCTGTCGCTAGACGAGGAAAAGGAATCGCTTCGGCGAGAAAAGGAACGTCAGGCCTTAAGCCAGTTGGATAAAGCGAGGGTAAGTATTAGTTATTACATAGTCAAAATCTATATTAATATATCCACATTATTTTATAGAGTAAACCAGTAGCGTTCGCTGTGCGAACCAACGTAGCGTACGATGGCACAATTGACGACGATTCGCCCGTTCAGGGTGGTGCAGTTTCATTTGAGATGCGGGAGTTCCTGCACATCAAGGAGAAGTATGACAATAACTGGTGGATCGGCAGACTGGTTAAGGAAGGCTGTGATGTGGGCTTCATACCCAGCCCCGCTAAGCTAGACAACATTCGCATGCAGGTGAGCATTGCTCTTGGCACGGATTATCTTCTAAAATTAACTCGCTTATTTGGTATTCTTTTTGTAGAATCAAACTAGACCCTCAAGACTGTATGGCACAAAGGGCTCATCTAGTGGTAATCTGGGTGCGGGACAAGCAGGTGCGGAGCCATCACGAGGTAGCACACCCCCCACACCTGGTATGACACACATTTCATTCTCCTAATTTCTTTTGGGCGAGGTTTTATTTTGTATATCGTATCTTAATTTGATTTCAATGTAATATCTCCTTTTCGTATTTATGTCGTATATATTTTCGTCTGCGTTAATATCAATTATCTAACGAACTTCTCGTAACCAAACGAACGAACATATAACATAACTATTATTATTCCACATACGTACTACAATATATACACGTGAGTGCGTCTCTCGATCAGCTCAGTACAACAACCATGGTACTCCAAACCGATTGGCATCAATCACAAAGGACACAATTATAAGACACGGCTAATTTTGAGCTGAGTCCAACAGTTGATCTCCAACCAGCTAAGATCGTCCGATATGATTTACACCTGACTCGTAGTTTGCCGCGTACCGTTTTGAATTTTCATTTAGAAAAATCTGAATCTGGCAACACTGGGCTACAAAATTGCCGTAATTTCGTAAATTTTGTGTTCTATTTTTATCATGCTACATCCATAATGAAACTGCAATAAGGAATTATATTTCACCAGCATTTGCCAAATGGTCCAGTCCAAAACTGACATAGATGTCTAACACTCTCTCCTGCATGATAGTCACTCAACAAATTGGTCTAGAACACATATCACACACGCCCACACGCAAACTCAAGCCTTTTTTTCTAGAGACAACTTACAGCACGCTCCCACTCATATCCTACTATAACTGTGTATAGTAAGAAAAAACGTATTAACTGCACTTAACTCTCTTTTGCCACACACAACAATAATTATCACCATACCCAACAACAACAATAATACCAACTACGTGATAAAAACGTGTTCCAAAGACCCCTATAGTACTACACCGCGCAAGAAACAAGGTTTGTCCACGTCTCTCATCTGGTAATCAGAAAATGCATTTTCAATTCAACAAAATCTTGTGCTCGTCATGCTAGAAAATAATATCGGAAAATCTGTATATGTATCTTTATCTAGTTGCGTTCAATTTCATTTCCATCTAGAGATGCGCAATATGTTGAGAAAATATTATACGATTCTATTACTACAAAATTGTTACCTTATTATACATAAAAACAAATCTTAAATATGATTTCGACTGATTTCCTTAAGCGATATTATTAGTAATAGATATATTGAGCGCGTTTAATTTTTTTTTTGTTTGGTTTCGTACTTTCGCTAAATATACATTTTAGCCAATCACTTCATATATCCTTAGACTTAAGGTATGCTTTAGGCTGAATTTCATCCTCGAGTTGGCATTTCAACAGCACTTTATATCGCGTGGTACGGTTGCAGTTTGTAAAATACTCCCCGTATTGGACCCAACCACATACACAAACACTCACACACACGCTCAAACTCACACACACACACACGCCGAACACATACCCACACAATAAAGAAACATTGATTTTACGATTTCAAAATTATATCTTCTGTACATAAACTTAATATTTGATTAAAAAAAAACTTAAGTTGTAAATTGGCTTGGCAACTCGTAGCGCTCGATCTTCGTACGTAGAAATCATAAACTCGCTCATCCCTTGCCATTATCTTTTCTTTCCGCCTGTTCGAAATGATACTAACAATCAGGTGACGAATCAGATTCCATGGGACCAGGACGACATGGCAAGACACCATTAGCAACGCCACCCAATAAGGAGAAGCGCAAGCCTTTTTTCAAGAAACAGGAAACAGCCAGCCCGTACGATGTGGTGCCATCGATGCGGCCCGTTGTGTTAGTGGGTCCAAGCCTTAAGGGTTACGAGGTAACCGACATGATGCAGAAGGCGCTCTTCGATTTCCTCAAGCATCGCTTCGAAGGACGCATTATCATAACACGCGTTATGGCCGATATATCCCTGGCGAAGCGATCTATAATGAACAATCCATCGAAGCGTGCCATCATGGAACGTTCCACCAGTCGGTCCGATTGTCTGGGCAAGGTGCAAGAGGAGATCGAGCGCATCTTTGAGCTGGCCCGTTCACTGCAGCTGGTCGTACTCGATTGTGATACAATCAATCATCCGTCACAATTAGCAAAAACTTCATTAGCGCCAACAATAGTTTACTTAAAGATTAGTAGTAGTAAGGTAAGATATTTATTCACTTAACAACAAAAATGAAAACTATAATTGATTCATGAATTTGCAGGTTTTACAGCGTTTAATCAAATCACGGGGCAAATCGCAAGCTAAAAACTTATCCGTACAAATGGTTGCTGCCGAAAAGTTAGCCCAATGTCCACCCGAAATGTTCGATGTAATTTTAGATGAGAACCAATTGGAAGACGCCTGCGAGCATATCGCCGAATACCTGGAGGTTAGTGAATCATACAAATATACTTATATTCACATATTCAATCTATATATATTTATATATATGTGTATACATAATTTATATATATATATATATATACTAACCCATGCCATACAGACATATTGGAAAGCCACGCATCCAGATATTCGCACAGGCACCACAGTACCGGCCATTGCTAGACCGATACCGTCTCAGGAGGTGTCGGCATCACCCTCCGGCGATCAAGCGCGCTTGGGTCCAACACCACCAGGTAACGTCAGAGTCAGAGAATTGTGTTCATTTAATGAACGCATAGTCATCTTCATATCATAGCGTATCGTAAACCCCTTCACTAAAAGTCGTGAAATTTTAAAGATATAAAATCCAATTGCCCACTATCTCATCCACAAACCGTTTGGCAATTGAAATATCGAGAGAAACCAAAAAATAATCCATAGATATTCGGTCCAACAGCCCATAACATAATGAAGAAGTCACAAAACGACTTTATCAGATGATCAGTAAAACTAGTTAAGCATTTTTTTTTTTTTGTTTAATTTCGACATAATACACAGTACTTAACTTACATAAATATAACAATAACATGAATATATACTCACATTTGCAATACACGAATTTTTACAATTTTAATCACATATAACTCGTACAATTCTAAAATTTGTCTTTCTCAAATTCAAATTCCCATGACTGTACCGAAAACCAATCGATGAATCTTCTTGCTCTCTCTCCGCATTCGCGTGCCTGCGCTAACAGTCGATGGCGAGGAGTTTGATGAGCACGAGCCTAGAATGGCGAGTGCCGAGCGTGAGGGTAGTCGGGAGCGAGAGCGAGAGCGAGACAATGGCAGTAGGGAAAGAGAACGCGAGAATGAACGGGACTATTGGGATAGAGAGTTCAACAGAGATCGCAGTTCGAAAGACAGAGAAAGAGATTTGGAGTGGGAGCGCGAGAGAGCACGCGAATGGGAAAGAGAGCGAGAAAGGGATTGGGATAGAGAGTTCGATTGGGACCAAGGTAAATTCTACTGTTATTTATAATTTGGTTATGTAATCGCATAATTTCAACAGCAATTTATAAGTAATACTTTCGAATAGTATTAAATGTCATATTCATAATCCCAGTAATTTTCTTTCAAAAAAACACAAAAAATGTACAAGATTTCTTTAATCCTGTTGAGTATTGTCAGCCCACTTGCTATAAACTATCCATGTATCAGTTATACACACATAGTTATAGATATACCTAGATCAGCTTATCGCATAGAGTTACATTTTATTTGATATTTATATTTCCTTCACAACTCATGGCTAGCTTTAAAGATATTTACATATATACCGATTATTCACCCATTTTGCAATTAAGTTCCACATGTTAGGTTATTCTTAAAAGATTGCGGTTCCCATAGGTAGCTCCAATTTTGACTATTATGCCTTAGCATAGTGGGGCACATAGTAAAACTCGCTCACCAGCGGTTTTTAGTCATTTTTGTCATTTCATTCTCATAGCTGTTCTGACGTATCCATTTGACGTCAGGATTCCATAGCTTTTTTACGTAGATTAAGTTGTTAACACTTTTGCTTTCTTCTTCTTTTTGTTTATTATTTATTTGATCTTTTATGCAAACACTTCACAGCATTCACAGCACGAGACATACCCGGTTCCTTTACAACAATGCTATAATTCGAATCCAATTACCAAGATCAACACAAAAGCGATATCAACAGTACAAAGAAAAAGACAAATTATGTCCAAACGTTTCAATCAAATCAATAATAAGGAGTCTGTTCCAGTTTTCGGTATCGAATGTCCCTCATCCACGATGATCAACAAATTGAGTCTAAATGAGGTGCACATTCCTTAGGAAATTTCTGTTTTCGCCTGTTATTCGGGCGCATTTCGGAGCCCCCATTAAAAGCTGTTAACCGTACTATTTAAGATCTCTTTACTTTCAATATATTTTCTGCTTGAGTTCTGCTAACAATACTAACCCGAACGACCTTGAGCCCATTGTCAACGGAAGAGCATCTGTGATTCTTAAATGCATTAACCATAATTCATAAAATACATAGTTAGGACTCGTATCAAGAAAAACATATTATTGTCTAAATGTGCACTTGCCATGTTTTGTACTCGTTTCTAGTTACTCCTGGCGTCGTGCGCCTCTAGTGTCCACTCGTCCTCGTCCTTCTACTTGATTCCTACATTGCTCGGGTCCAGTCTAAGGCTCAGGCAACAACTCAGTTCAGTCTAATAGTTTGATATCTTGTCTTGTTTAATGATTATTTTATTGCCGTTCATCATTTCAAGTTAGAATCCTCAACTCATTCAAATTGTATTCGTTATTAAGATACATGTTGGCTTAGTGAGTATATTCTGCCAAAGGCGTTCAATTTCGCTTTAATTTGTTTAATCTGTTAAAAGTAACCTTCGCAGATTTAAATTATTGGTTCATTACCACATTCCCCTTCCCAAATATTAACTGCGATATGTTTAGTTGTCGACCTGAATGCAATCATTGTTTTCTTTTATTTTGTATTAGTCCTTTAAGTATAGAGCATAGAGAGAAACAAAAAACCCTTCCATCCTCAGTTATTAGAGAAATTGAAGACATAATAAATCTGTATTTGAAACAAAAGATTTTATACAACAATCTGAAAAAGAATATCAAATGAAAGTTAAAATTATAACTAGTATTTATATGTTTACTTGTTTATAACCAAAATAGTGAAATAATATGAATTCTACCTCTTTATCAGTTTTACAAGATTTATGTTTTTTATAGCCCTGCCTTGCCAAACTCTAACCCACTTGCAAAAATTCATAGTGTATCAGTACTTGTCGTAAGGAAAGTTCTGATTGTAAGATGGTTTAACTGCAATACGACTTTATAGCTAGAATACCAACCAAAATATATGCACACCCGTGTTACTAAAACATCTGTATTTGTTTGTCAAATGACTTTGGAGAATTATCTTTGGCTATTGATGCATTCGAATGCTTTGCTTTTGGTTTGTTTTTAGTTGAGTTTGTTTTTTGCGTTGAACTGCCAACTGATCAACTGATTAATGCTTGACTTAGACGAACCTGTGTTAACCGTATTGCAGGAGGTGCCTCTTACCATCATAGCCGTCGTCAGGCCTCAGGACGACACCAGGAGCGCAGCGTGGGCAGCGGCGGAGTTGGCCATGCGGCCGGCTATGAGCGTGACAGGGAGCGCTACGAGCGGCAGGAAAGGGAACGACTCCATGCACGTGATCGCGATCTTATGCACTACGATCTTAACAGCGACGAGATGCTGGACGAACGAAATTTTGAGTATCCGGCAATGCGCAGCGGGCCCAGCGGCGCCTCCCACCATGGTCATCTGTCGCGCGGCGGTCGACTTCTGGACGATGCAGAATTTGAGCGTGAGGATCGACTGATGGGCAGCTCAAGATCGCGCTACGGACCCGGACCCTCGACGCGCATTGACGATCCCCGTGATGTGCCGCGCGCAGCAGCTGTTGTGGATCGCGATCGCGATGAATACAGTCCGCACAGAGGTGGTGGAAGTAGTAGGAGAATGCTGAATGCCATGTAGGAATCGTGGATATAGGGGTGGGATCAGATCGATTCGAAAGCGCCAGGTTTGATGGAAGCACGTGACAATAGTTTTGATCTTGACACGATACACAAATCAAAACCCAAACCGCTGCTCAGACAGCACTCACAATCTCAACCTCAGCCTCAATCTCAATCTCAGTCGCAACCACATCACTTTACACACTCATACCCGGCAAGGCAACGCAGCGGTCAGTGGCTGTCATCCCCGTCGTTTTCTCAGTCGCAAACCTCGTTCAGTCATCAACGGCCACGCGAACACTTTCCGTTGCGACACCAGCCACTGTCCTATCCACAGGAACGCCCACACAGCCAAAGCCATCATTTACACTCGTATACTTCCAGTTGCACATACCCCGCCAACTCCGACTCCAAGTCCTTAGCACCTGTGCGCTCCCAACACTATCCTCGTGATGCGTTCCAAAGCACCTCATTTTCCAATCCGGTGTGCAACAGCGACGCCTATAGAGACAGAATCAGACCCAAAAACTCAGCCATAAGCAGCGGCTCCACCTCGAATACAGCGGACTTCGATTGGTCATCGTCATCCTTCTCGAATATCGATGCAGTCACACACGCAATACGTAATAAGATTATCGTTGAGGAGGACGAGGAGGATATACTAAGCACGGATAGGTTTTATTGAAGAGATTTCAGCGACACGACACACAAGGCACAAAACGCTTTCATATTATCGTATTGCGACAGCCAAGATTATGCAAAGATATTTTCAGAGCGACATTGCACAATATGTTTAAAAAATGATCCAAATACATAGGCTTTACCCAAAACCGGGGGTCAGCATTCAACTGAAAGCTTCACATAACAAGAGACAAACCGAATACAAGAGTACTACAAGTATAAATATGTATAAGGCTAATCATTCACACACACGTAGCATACTTATTTCAGTGCCAAAACACATTTGTACATTTCCATCGGAAGAGGCCACTTGAATTTTTCCCAGCTGTGCGTCTGTGCGCCAGTGGCCCACCAAGTGGCTGGACGGGAAATACTTACATAGTTTATGAATAGCACAATGCTAAGTACAGCCTTATGTGTCTTAAATACTATATGTAGCTAATGGTAATGAGATTTTATTTAACAATATATAACTATATATATACATACATGCATATATATATATATATGTATATATTGGATATATATATATATTAATATGTATATATGTATTTATATACATATATATATATATATATATGAATGGAAACAAAACTAAGCATAAGATTTACACCTAAACAACATTGGTGATGCATTTCGCCGCATCAATTGGGGTCTGGGAGGGGAATCATTGTAGTTACGGTAAGCCGTATATATATTTTTATGCAAATGGTAAACTAAGTGGCAGCTTTAATAATTTAGTGGAAGTATATTAATCTAAGTAAATGCAGAAAATATGCACACACACACACGCATACACCAATACATACGAACACAGTCACACCGAATAACGAAATACACTACCAAAAGTTGACATTTTGATCGATTGAAATCTCTTTAATAAATCTATCTGTAATCGAATATGTGAATTGCTGAAATGTTGCAGAAATATCTTGGAATACTAACATATGGTATTCCAGAAACTCTGTAATATTAGCTACAATCTAGCTTGATTCACTTCCTACAAGTGTTGCTAATTGCGATTTTTCTCTAACGCTATCGGATCGTAAGCTTGAAATACGAGCTATGTTCATATTTTTCTCCAGCATTCTCTTGCGTATATTGCTTTCAATTAGCTTTTTCCCGCTAACTTAGTTGCTTCAGTTAAGCAATTAATACTACCAGTGCCTTAACAAAAACCATTAAACAACAAAATGAACTACACACTACAAATTTGGCATACCCAAGATTTTAAACACACATGCATACGCTATTATTGAGACTTGTATTATCCTTGCCCTCAATGCTTATTACGTATTGCAGTTGCATTCGATCGCTTACCATCAAATTATATAGAAACTATTGTAAGTATGTTTTTGATCTGGCCCATTCCAAACGAGCACTCTTTTTACAATTCCAACCACCTGTAAGAATTGATAAACGGTTTTCAAAATTCAACACAAACAAACGCACTGAATTCAAATCGATCGCGACTTAGAGTATGAGGGAGTTTAAAACTCCCTGCACTTCCAGTGCTGATTGATTAGCGCTAAGTACCCATATACCTTCCGCACCTTTAATTAAAATCAAGGGCAAACACAGCCCAATAAACGAGCTTTGTTCAAACTAGCGTCATGAAAGCCTCGTTATAGATTGTGCTAAAAGGCTATAAGACCGAACCGTAGGCGACTTGTTGATTGATCACTGCACTCCCTATTGATGTAGAAAACGATTCGATTAAGAAAATTATATGTGGGGGGCGGCTTACTAGGTGAAAGGTGTGCTAATCGCTTTACACTTTAGTTAAAACCCAAAATATAACTATATAAGGTGTGATATTTTTCCATTTATAATTCGGTTTGATCCTTAACAACTGCTGATGTCAGCCGCCGGCAAAGATTAAAATCATCTGTAGCTCTTAAGTCGCTCTTATAAAATTGAAAGAAACTTTGTGTCCAGGGGGGTTTTATACACAAAGTTTCTCGAATGTTGAACTAAAGGAACATACCAAAAATATTTATTGTGAAATGAGGACAAGTGGAAGATCAACCTCTCAAAACTGACATTTTGATAAAAAAAAAAAAAAAGTGTATCAAATAGAGAATGCAACTATTGGGAAAATTTGTTAAGGATTCAGGCCATACAAGTTCGTAGACAAATGTGCATATGTATAAATACGAAAGTAAAAAGTATATGAAAGAACATGTTAGATATTAATATTGGTTTTATAATTGATCCATATGGTACCGAAACAAATCATAATACATAAGTATCCTGAAGAAAAGCCTGGTAAAAACTTCATGACTACGCTCACTTGCATTTTGTGCAGCTTATAAATAAAACGGAACTACATATACCCATATACACGCATATACGAACATAGACCTGCACTTTGAAGCATTTTCTATCACTTGGATAAAATAGAAGAAAAGAGACCAGTTCATTTTGCAATAAGGGCGCATACGATTTCCACCCTGATAGTACGGGGCGAATGGGCTGAGTGCTAAAGCCATATATAAATAAATATATATAATAATAACGGTACGCAAACAATTCTTGTATAAAGTGGCAACAAATTTATTTATTAGCTATAATTAAATATATTGAAAATTACTTTTTAATATTAGCTTGCAGTTAAAAGCAAACACGAACGGAGGAAAAAATATTTAAGTAAATAATTGAAGAGCCCAAAAATTATATACAAAATAAAAATAAAAATAAAAAACAATAAAATATACATATACTAAGTATGGCTATACATATGTAAATTATACAAATTTATTCATATGAATACATACGAGTGTATTGTATTAAATTCACAGAACTGGTAACTCACAATAAAAAAATAAAAAAACATATATATAATTATGTAAATGTATCCTGCTATAAATAACAAAATTTAAAAGAAAAAACCGTCAACTGACAATTTGTAAAGGAAGAAACTTTTCCAATAGTACTCTAATTAACAAAATTACCTTGCAAAAAAATAATAAAAAAACACAAATAAAATAATAATAAATTATTAATTTGTAATGTTAAAAGGATTTATTTTGAATATTGCAATTATTTCAATCTAATCCAAACTATAAATAAATAAAATAAATTAATAACAACAATACAAATATTAAACTTTGTTGACTTACTAACACATACACACACAACATTTCGACATTTCAAATACGAAATTCATATTTCATCATTAAAACTCAATTTACTAAAGACTCCCTTTCCTTAAAGCCACTCTAATAAATGCAAGCATTATTTTTTTAACAACAATAAGTATATGGTAAAAATGTATAATGAAAAAAGTGAAACAAATAAAAGGCAAATTTTTATGCACGCCTGAGGTACTATAGTCGAAAGTTCGAATTACAATTATTATTAAACCAAAATGGGTGAAATTAAAACCACAACCAAAACCAGAATATGAAACTATTTGTGCAAATATCAATCCAAATTTATATAGAAATATTTTTACGTATATGAAAACCGATAACTTTACCATAATCGTTTGTAAATAGTTAATGATATCTGAATTTCCTTATAAACGTTTGTTCTAAGTTCCGAATGGGAAAAATTGCAAATTGTCCCAGATTCGTTTGGTTCTGTTGATTTGTTTGAGCAACTTATAAAAGTACTTCAAGTATGATTTACAAAAATATGAGTATGTAGTTAAATGAATGCTAAATTGCAAATAAAACCAATTAAAATAACTGAAATTTGAACATTAATTCATATTGTTCTTTTTCCACATGCTTGACCTCACATTTTGAAAATTAGTAATTTAGAAAATCAATCATTCAATAATGCTAATTGCTACTTAAGGGTTAATAACATTTCAATATTATAACTTGGCAGCTCGCCCTTATCTTATCTACATAGTTCAGCAAACTACATCCAAGTTTGATTTTAGTGTTTATTTCCTTTACTTTCCTTATCAGCAAGTAAACTTGTTATGAGCAACATTCGTGACGTAGATGAGTGAAATTCCTGCGACCTATTTGAGCCCTTGTCGCCTTTTACGGGCTAAGCTTGTTTTCGCACAGACACAGGTTTTCGCACTGTACGTACATACACATATACTTGATGAGCATATATACTAATATGAGTATATATTGATAAGTACGTACATACGCAGCCCACTTCTCTACTAAGTCGACATGCGTTTGGGAGAGAGCGAGAGCGAGAGCGAGCTTTCACTCCGCATCTGAGCGCCGCCGTTGCTGATAATCGACACCGATCGGAGCTTACACAGCCGCAGTCGCAGTCGCAGTCGCCGTAGTGTCCAGCCGGTTCGCTGCCTGTCAACTCTCGCTCGCCGAATCAGTTGACTTAATAAGGCCAGTGCGACGAGTGCAGCGCGTGCGAGCTTCCGAAAGTGCTTTGTGTCAGTTTTTTTAATCCAACAAATTGCAGTTATTGCATTTAGATTTCTGAGACTGCTTTAATTGTTGTTGCGAATATGCCGTTGAATATTAAAAATGTTCTGGTCTGCGACGCAGTCGACAAGTCGTGTGTTGAGCTTCTAGAAGAGCACGGCATCAATGTAAGTCCATAAATGTGATGCTACAACAAATAGATTACATATATATATATATAAACATATATATAATAAAAGAGAATATAATTACGTTCATGTATTGTGCTTGTGGTTTGTGGTTCTATATATACAGGTTACATACAAACTGAAGCTGCCTGTGGATGAGCTCTGCAAGGAAGTAAAGGTGAGTAGGAATCTAATTACATAACATTTGCATCAACATACATACATACATATATACTTGCATATTTCATAACTTTATGTAAGGTGTCGTATAAATATACATATTTATGTGTAGTGTGCAATAAGTGCTTCGGTATGTCAACGGCTTTTGAGTTGGAAACACGTGTTTGGTAAAAATTAGATTTACAAGAATAAACAAGCATGAAGAATACGACAATTATCAGTTCATGCCTTTCATACATATATATATACATATATAGCTGTTGTCAAGCTTGCTGCATCGTGCAAATATACCCATTGATAGAGCCTTTATTAAATTATTTAAGTACTTTTTATTATTTATTGAATTGAATTCGTGTTTTGCTTTGACATAATCCTAACTATTTAAAGATTAGACTTCATTTTGTCGCTAGTATGCGTATATATTAGTATAAATACATTATCCATTCTTAGTATCTATTAAATTGCAAAAAGTTTTGAATGAAAGATGTTCCCTTCGATCTTTAAACTTAAACA